TAGTGTGTTAGTATGGAAGCCCATACATGATATAATAGTACAAAAATATTAAGTTAGGCAAAGTGCAGAGATATATTGATATTAGGGCGAGATTAGAGGAATGAAATATTGAAATTTTTTTTTTCCTACGAGGAAACTATGAGTAAATACTTTGATCCTCAACAGAAGTATAGATATATGTAAATAATCTTGTCATTTGTAAAGAGTACTATGCTAGTATATACCTGATTAGAACATAAAATTTATTTTGAAAAGATGAGAACTTTCCTTCCAACTAAGGATGTGTGGGTGACAAAATGGATAACAGCTCAGAAGGTGAAATTGGAGAGCAGAGTTTAAATTCCAGTTGAGTTAGTTACATTCATTTACCTTTGAGAAAGGTATGAATCTATCTCTTCTCCTCCAAGATAGGAGTTAAATAGTAGGGCTTGAATCTAGAAAAAAAACATTGTCTCCCAAAAAATTGTTGATGCAATATTAATTTGCAAAAAATTAAAAAAAAAAAAAAAAAAAGAAAGAAAATTACTCTTATGATCTAAAAAATATTTTGGCTTTAAATAACCCACAAAAAGGCTGGTAAAAAACAAAATTAGTCAATCCTTCCAACCAGATATCTGTGTGTGTGTGTGTGTGTGTGTGTGTGTGTGTACTTGTACATTTATGAGATATACAAAGTGAACTAGGAAGATGTGTTGCCTTCATGATTTCTCTTTGAGGATTATCGTAAAAATAATGTCAGATGTTGAACTAACAATCTGACCTTCCTTCTTCCATTCATATAAAAATAATACAATTTGAATGCTGTAAACAAATAAAAATCACCCGCATTGACCTTTGCTGATGTCTAAGCAGCTAACACAGAGGAAGGGATTCAATCCAGAAATGTTTGGATTAAAAATCCATGATCTTTTTTATTTAAAAAAAATCTCTTGTCCTTTCGACTCCTGTTTGCAATCAAATATATTTTCAAAATACACAGCATATAACACACTTACATATGGCATTACTTAACATAATCCCACTATCTTTTCCATTAGTAACTGTAATCATCTTTTTGATATGCTTTTAATCTCATTCATCATATCTGTTTTGTTTTGAAAGATTGAGAATACAGCAGATTGACTGAATGGACAATGCAGATAAAACTTAGAAATTCAGCTTACAAAAAAAGAATTTTTTATGGTTCACTGTGAGCCATAGTTTTGTGACTGATATTAAAGCGATGGATAGGACATTCCATTTCTCAAGTTACTAACAAGACAATGCAGAAATTTTGTTGGTTATATGCTGATCATATCTTTTGGCATTACCAAGTAAGAATATCCTGATTTTTAGGATGAAAAAAGATTCTATATGTACTTTATGCTATGGTTCAAGGTAAGATTTATGTTCTTAGTGGATATATATCATGTAGATGGCATACTTTGTGTTAGGAATAAATGTTTAGATAAGGAAATAAGCTCAAAAACTTTAACTGCTAAAACTTGTTCACAGAATCTGAAGAGTATGGATACCACTAAATCAAATGTGAATCAAGATTTACTGACTTGAATGATGTGGAACTGACTCCCAAGATGATGCTTCCCCAATCACTACAATCTTGGTGTGTTCAAGTCTGGAGTCAATTGTTATCCTCTCCACATATCCCCATAAACTGAGCCTCTTCCTCTGTAATCCTCTATCTTGAGTGGTTCTTGGGCCTTTTACCGGATGAACATCATTGTCAAAAAAAAAAAAATGTATTTTTATTTCTTCTAAAATTTTAATACAACCACTTCACATTTAATGATTTACCTGTTAATGCCCCACTGACATTTTCTATTTACTGTGTCCCTTTAGGATGTCGGCAATGATGGCTCTCCACAATTTCCTGTCCTTTTCAGCTCTTTTGTCTTTTTGTTATCTCCTCTAAACTTTTTTCTGCCATCCATTTACTCAAGAGTTAGATCATGCATTGTTTTGTTCTTCTTGCCTTCAACCTGTTTTGTGAGTAGCAAATTTTCCAAGCTCTCTTTCCTCATTATGTGCCCTATAAATTTCAATTCTCATTTTCTGATGCTAAGTGTCCTTTTTGATTCCATTTTCTCTAAAACTTTCATTACTTTTCTGTTTGGTCCATTATATTCTCACCATCCTTCTATAGAGCCACATTTCAATTGATTCAAGTCTCTTTTTCATCTGTGTGGAGATTGTCCAGCATTCTTCATATAGGAGGACTGATAACAATCCAGTATTTCTTTGTTTCTAAAAAATTTTTTTTCTGTTTCTTAATACTTTGCTTAACATTTGGAAAGTATCTTTTTATATCCAAATGCACCTCCAGATTTCAGTGTCGCATTTTCTATCCTCAGTTAAAACATTTCACAGATTTTTAAATTGCAACACATATTTGATTTTGGTATTTCCAATTTGTAATTTGTTTATTGGGCTGTTACTTTTGGTAACAAACATGCATTATATCTTCTTGCAATTGATGCTTAGTCCTTTCTTCTTGCTTTTCTTCACTACCTTCTGTAAGAGTTTTTGAAGTTTCCTCTCTGTGTCTGCTATCAACACTGTCTCATAAAATTCAATCAATGATTGTTTTCTCTTTCTTCAAAATAAATAAAACTTTACTTGTACTGTATTTACAATATTCTAACTGAAGTAATGTACTGAATAAAAAAATGATTTTCCAAATTGGTTTATAATGTTTTGTGTTCAATACACTATTCTAATGTATCATGATGAAAAGACGAAATTAACACATTGACTGCTGGCGACAAGTTAACTTGTGTTTGGCAGTTTTTGTTATAATGTCGACAATCTTGTGTTTAGCATTTTCTGATAAATTTTCATCTGCAGGTGCCAACAACAATGTTCAACCCACCCTGTAAATATCAACTCTCAATGTTCAACCCACTGCAACCTACCCAATATATATTCTGCCATAATATATGACAAAATCATTGCAAATAATGCAGGAAGTCACACAAACAGTGAGACTTTGAGAGCTGATATTTATGGGGGGGGGCGGATTTGAGCATGTTGAATGCTCTACTATTAAAGAATGATTAATATGATTATTTGTTTTTCTATATCTCTGAGATTAGGAACTATGATTACTTATATTATTTGGACTGTTATCCTCATCTTCATTGTCATATTCACAATTCGGCTGTTGTATGCTCTGGCCTTCTTCTAGAAGAGACATGGCACATGGAACTAGAACAATCTACCTGGGTGGATGAAATAAAAGGTTTGGTTCTAAATTCCAATCACCTGAAAAAGGCCAGAGCATACAAATGCCTTAACGTTGTGAATATGGTAATGAAGATGATAACTGTCTGAATAATGTAAATAATGCAAGTAATGATTATTTGTTGTCTATGAAGACTATTGTGAAGTCATTTCTTTCCATTTCTGTCTGGATGAAAGACACAGTGTATGAATAGTCAATAGTTGAGTGACGTCAGCTGTTGAACTATAACATTGCCAACCTGGCTCAATCTTGGGTTGTTTCCATGCTGGTCAGTACTGTTGCTGGTCAACTGATGGTTATCTGCTTTCTGCTTTGTTCCTTCATCTGCTTTTGTCCCATCTTGCGTTCCTTGATCACAGAACAGTGAAAATCGGATTTTGTCAGTAATGGATGGATCAAATTGTGCAACAAAAAGACAAAGAATGCTTCTGCTAGCAAAAATAAAAATAATATAACAAAATAATGAAGAAAGTTTCCAGGTTAATTTTCACTTGGTTTATATTGTTTTTGATACAACAAAATCAACAAAATTAACCCTTCCCATTTAACTCTCTAGCATGACACTGTCCTTTTCTTCTAAAACTTGGAGTGGATTCAACAAAGAAAGAGATCAGTCAGGAATTCTCTCAGCAGCAGATCATGTAGAGTTCATCAGCTCCTTTGTCCACTGCTGTCCATCTGTGTCTCTTGCTCCAAATGCTGGGTTGCTTAAGTGAGCTGTTTATATGTATTTTCCCAACTCCCACTGCACCTCAGGACTTATCATTTATAACAATTACTTTCTCCAATTTTTGAGAAACAACACTGACCTTGAAACAAAACGATCAGTTATTCAAAACAATACATTCTTCAACAACAAACTTTGTTTACCATTCCTTTTGATTAGTTACTTATTCAAAACAATACTCTTGATAACAAACTTTGTGTTTATAAATTATTTCTATGTCCATGACGTCAAAGAATTTCTTTTGTTGTTGATTTTCCAATATAACCCATATAATTTTCTGCCCATTTTGCATGTTTACAAAATGAAACTCCACATTGTTTGCATTACCAGCTTTGTGAATTCTAATAATTACATTTGTCTTTTGGCTTACATTTTACATTCCTCTTCCATTCTGCTTTCCTGGTTATCAGAATGAAAAAATCTCTCGCTTAATATTTCAATTCATGTTTTCACCTTAACGGTTTTAACCCTTACATTTCTCCAATTCCTATACAGGCTTTTCCCATGAACCCTTTTAATCCTAATTTCATGCTACCTGTTTTATGCTACCAGTGTCACAGAAATGGTTTTGGGGAGTTAAGTGAGTCATTGGGGAGTAACAAACAATAAAAAACATACTAGCATCAACTGGACACAAATACAGTCAGAGTAAACAAGCGGCATCTTATCCATGAAAAGAACACATCATATGCCATATGCATAACAGGTAATAAAAACAAAATCAAAAAAATTCATAATATAATTGCATATTATCTGCTTGAAAATGGTTGAAATAAAAGAAAATCTAAGTCCCACTGATTTGCTGTATGAAAAGAAGAGGAAATTAAAGACAAAACAAGAGTGGGAAGGAAGGTATTTAGAATGTGAAAAAGAAATCCAAATAAAGTATAAGAGGAGTATAAAAGTATTAGGAGAGATAAAGACAAAAAGATAGAAAGAAACTAAAGTAGAAGGATAAAAATATTTAGTGAACAGGGTTAGACAGGAAACTGAGATGTGAAAGAACAAACAGAAACTGGGTGATGTGATGGCTTAGGGTAAATCAGCAAAAGACTGAAAAAGAGAGAGAAAACCCAAAAGAAAATGATTAAAATAAAGAAAGAATAGAAAGTGGAGAATGGAAGAAGAGAGAAGGAGGATATGGAAGAAGAGAGAAGAAGGATATGGAAAAGAAGGAAAAAGAATGAAGAAAGGATGTGAATGCAATAAAAATACAAAGCAGAGGGAGAATAGAGAAAGAAAAAAAAAAGAAACAAAGAAAAATAAAGAAAAATGCGAAGGAGAAATATAAAAAAGACAAGAAGGAATATTAAAGAAAAATCTGAGGAAAAGAGAACAGAAGCAAATAGAAATGTAGGGTGACAAAATTAAGAAAATGAAAGAGAAAGGAAACAAAATGAGAGAAGGTAAAGAGAAAGGAAACAAAAATGAGAGAAGGTAAGAGAAAGGAAACAAAATGAGAGAGAGAAAGGTGAGAGAAGGTGGGAGAAAGGAAACAAAAAAGGTAAGAGAAAGGTAAAGAAAGGAAACAAAATGAGAGAAGGTAAGAGAAAGGAAACAAAATGAGAGAAGGTAAGAGAAAGGAAACAAAATGAGAGAAGGTAAGAGAAAGGAAACAAAATGAGAGAAGGTAAGAGAAAGGAAACAAAATGAGAGAAAGGTAAGAAGGTAAAGAAACAAAAAAAGAGAGAAGGTAAGAGAAAGGAAACAAAATAAGAGAAAGGAAACAAAATGAGAGAAGGTAAGAGAAAGGAAACAAAATGAGAGAAGGTAAGAGAAAGGAAACAAAATAAGAGAAGGTAAGAGAAAGACAAAATGAGAGAAAGAGAAAGGAAACAAATGAGAGAAGGTAAGAGAAAGGAAACAAAATGAGAGAAGGTAAGAGAAAGGAAACAAAATGAGAGAAGGTAAGAGAAAGGAAACAAAATGAGAGAAGGTAAGAGAAAGGAAACAAAATGAGAGAAGGTAAGAGAAAGGAAACAAAATGAGAGAAGGTAAGAGAAAGGAAACAATGAAAAAATGAAAGATAATGTAAAAAAAAATTAATATGAAAGGGAAAAAATCTTTGTAAAAATACAGAGAAAGTATTCAAAATTTGTAAAAAATGTAAAAGAAAGGAGACAAAACTTAAAAAATTAAACTGAAATAAGACACTTTTATAAAAAAATGAAATAAAAAGGAGAAAATTTTTTAATAAATGAAAGAGAAAGGAGACATTTTTTTAAAAATGAAAGAGAAAAGAGACATATTGTAAAATTAATGAAAGAGAAAGGAAACAAAATCAGAAAATAAGAGAGACAGGAGGCAAAATTAAAAAAAAGAAAATGGCAAATTTAAAAAATGAAAGAGAAAGGAGACACATTGCAAAAAAATTAATGAAAGGGAAAGGAAACAAAATCAGAAAATAAAAAGAGAGACAGGAGGCAAAATTAAAAAAAAAAGAAAGGAGGCAATTTTAAAAAAATGAAAGAGAAAGGAGACACATTGTAAAATTAATGAAAGGGAAAGGAAACAAAATCAGAAAATAAGAGAGACAGGAGGCAAAATTAAAAAAAAGAAAGGAGGCAATTTTAAAAAATGAAAGAGAAAGGAGACACATTGTAAAATTAATGAAAGGGAAAGGAAACAAAATCAGAAAATAAGAGAGACAGGAGGCAAAATTAAAAAAAAGAAAGGAGGCAATTTTAAAAAATAAAAGAGAAAGGCGACATTTTTTTAAAAATGAAAGAGAAAAGAGACACATTGTAAAATTAATGAAAGAGAAAGGAAACAAAATCAGAAAATAAGAGAGACAGGAGGCAAAATTAAAAGAAAAAAGAAAGGAGGCTGTTTTAAAAAATGATAGAGAAAAGAGACAAAAAAAATGTAAGACAAAGTAAGAAAACAATGAAGACAAATGAGACAATTTTTTAAAGATCAAATAGAAAGAAGACAAATTTTAAAATAATGAAGGATAAAGTAGCCAAAATAAAAAAAACTAAATTTCACTTTCAGTTTTTTTTTTTAATTTTGTCAGCTTGAGATAAAAATAAAAGCAAAAGGAGATAAAATTTTTTAAAAAATGAGAAAAGAAATGAGACAATTTTTTAAAAATGAATGAGAAAGTAGTCAAGAAAAAGAATCTAAAGTTCATACAAAGATGGCATTTTGAAAATTGTCACTAATGTTCATAAGTGATAACTTCTAAGAAACTCATTTCATGTTTAAGAAGAAACTACGTACTTATTTGAGATTACTTGAAACATACTTAGCACAAAAAAATAGTAACAGTTTCAGTATTTTACCTGTTATGCAATAAACAACATTAAGTTTCCCCCTTTTGGAAATTTCCACTAGGTTTTCATATTGTCCTTGACACATTACATTGACTCCTACCAGTTCTCTCATTGTTCTATTCATGGTTACTTATGTCAGCAAAAACATATATTGCCATTAATAGTTACAGAATTTTTTGATTATCCTAACCTTTGATTAAAAATACTTGCTACTCAAAAGCCAGAACTACAATCTTCAAAAATTTAAATTCAACATCAATTGCATTCTTCTGTATTATTGAACCCTGTTCATTTTTTGTCCTTTCCTCAATCTTCCCTATTCTAAGTTTTCTCATTGTTTCACTTTCACTCCTTGTAAATCTTTGAGTACTAGTGGCATTACCACCTTGCTTGGGGTGAAATGATTAAAAAAAAATTCTCTGGTCTTCTGATAATGAGATCTTAGTTTAAGTCTTGTAAGAAGCTTCCTGTTCTTCTTCTTTGTTACTTTGTGTAACTTAGTTTAATGGTTGAAAAGGAGTTACAATTCCGAGTTAGAATGTATAATTAATACCAGGGTCAGCAAGAGAGCAGATACTACACTCTAATCTTCAGTGAAAAGGAGGTCATGCATACAAACAGAATAATCACATATAATATCTGATGTGATTTTTTCTTCACATTTCTTTGTTTCTGTAACGTAACACACTGAAGCAAATAGATTTATAAAATTAAAAATGAATCTAGCTTTGATTTGAACATCTAACCAAGAGTTAAGTAGGCAAAAGACAAATATCCACTTCAGCAATGTTCTGCTGCTTGGTAAAATTAATTTGAAAAACCAAGTGAACAGATGCTACACTGATCCTAGACAGATGACTGAGTTACTGCCCTTATTTGATTCAATATTTACCTGTCTCCCCATGAGGATAGGACAGGACACATGGTTAGTTTAATGCAGGGCACTCATCTATATACATGTGTGCAAGAACAAAAATTGCCCAGTCCCCACAACTAGTGCCATGCAGGTGGCAGAATACTTGGATTCTCATCCTTTTGATTGAAATGTTGTTACATTCAATAACCTAGCATCATGTTATGTTGTATCTTGCCTGGAAATGAGAACTCAGCAACGTGTCTCAACTGAGGACCTGTTGAAGAAAGGAACAAATACAATATTCATTCCAGTACTCATCCAAGACAGAAATACTGATCCATAGATAAATAATCCCATCATTTTTGACAGATATGCTAGCAAGATGAAAATGTTATGCCAAAAGCAGAACAAAAAAGTGCTGTATAGGAAAATGAAGATCTTCAAAAATATTTCCAACTCCGATTTTTAATCTGTTAAGCAATAGAATTTCTGATTAGAATTTTTTTTTCAACCCGTCCGAAATTCTTTAGCCTTGGATTTTAAAGAATAACGTGGATGTGAAAATATTTGGATCTTAAATTATGTTTAAGAATATTTCCAAAGTTTTGAAATAATGTAGCTTCTTGGAGCATTTTCTATAAATATTTTCCTGTGAATAGTTTCCTCTTTAGTACCATTCTCACTGGACTTATTCAACCTGTACAGCGAGGTAATTCTGACATAATTACGAATCTCACCAGGATTCATTATTGGCAGCCACAATCTTAATGACGTAAGATATGAAGATGACACAGTGCTGATAGCAGACATGGAAAGAAAAAAAAACAAAAACGAAGGAAAGTGAGAAGAAAGGATTAAACATCAACCGACAGAAAATGGAATGCATGGTTGTTAGTAAAAGGATGAGCCCAAAATGCAAATTACAAATCAGAGATACCAAAATCAAACTAGTACAAAAATTTAAATATCTGGAAAATGCTTTAAAAGAGGATGGAAAGTGTGACAACAAAATCCAAAGGTGCATTGAGACAGCAAAAGATGCATTCCAAAAGCTAAGCAGAGTAATAAGAAATAGAAAAACTTCATTAGAAAAACAAAGAAAAGAGTACTGAACTGCCATGTGATATCTGTCCTCCTGTATGCCAGTGAATGGTGAACAATTTCCTCAAAAGATGAAGAATAGACTTCAGACAACAGAAATGTGGTTCTACAGAAGGATGCTGAGGATACCATGGACTAAATATGTGAGCAACAACAAATTTTTAGAAAAAAACAGAAACTAAAGAGGACAATTATACTTAACATCAGGATGAGACAGTTGAAATTTCTGGATCACACAATGAGGAAGGAGGGGTTGGAAAATCTGATACTCACAAAACAGATTGAAGGCAAGAGTGACAGGACAACAATGCATAACATACCTTAGTGAGCTTGAGTAAATGGATGATGAAACAGGTTTTAGTAGAAATAACAAAAAGACAAAATTTAATAAGAGCTACAAAAAATCAGGAAATTGTAGAGAGTCATGATTGCCTACATCATAAGAGGCCATGGCACATAAAGGAGAAGACTAGATTGCTGGCAAGGTCTCATCATTTTACAGTTGAAATTGGTAGATGTAACCATAATTTCTATGCTAGCAATTGCTTCTCTTGCCTTTATCACTTGTGGAACTCTCTTCCAGCTTCTTACTTTCTAGAAAATTTAAATGCAATATCAATTGTTGATGTCTGTCTTCATAATTCATGTTGCTTTATTTTTCTCTCTTCTTAGATTATTTTTCTCTTATTCTCTTGCACTCAGTAACCCCTTGCATCTTAGTGGCTTTATTGCTTTGTTTGGGGTTAAATAATAAAAGAAAAAAGAATATCAGAATTGTTAGTGCTGAGTGTGGACTATATATTTTTTTCAATCAGTTATGCAACATTCGTGATCTATAAAGTTTGTCCTTGTCTAAGTGCACTGAATTTCTATTGCATACTAGTGAAAAGTATTTTACAATGCATAGAAGATATGCTGGAAATATAAAGTAGCATATTATAGGCTCAGAGTTTTACTTCATTATTTTTTTTTGGCAAGATTTAAAACAAAAAGCAAAAAATCTTCAGTTGCAAAATTGAATTTCAGTAAGCACCTAATTCGTAAAGAGTTTGCATGTTGCATGAAAGTAATCACCGAATCATTTATTCAGCAGAGAAAAAAAAAAAAATTCCTCACAAAGTTATGTTAATAAACAAGTGAGGGTAAAGACAAACAGATTTTGAATTGATAGATAAGTACAGTGGAAAAAGATTGTAAAATAAAAGAAATATTTATAAAAGGAAGGATCTCAAAAATTAAGTTGTATATCTTCTTTGTTCATCATATCACATTGTTGTTTCGAATGGAAAATTGATAAAAAAATATTTTTTAATGTTCTTTCAGTTGGTGGTGCTGTCAAGACATGAATGTCATCTTAAGCAAGTGTAAAATTGATAGGTAAAACAACAATTTGTTTTACGACAGCAATTTTATTTTGAAACAGATCACTACTCCTGTATTTTTTTTAATCACAAGTAATAATTCATCATGAAATATTAAGATTTATTTTAAAGTATTTTGCATAGGCATCCTTTCAATTTTATCTTCCAGGACTAGTTTGTGGCAATGTAGGAGAAAACCAAGTGTTACTTTGAAAAGGAATTTCTGTTCTCTCTCTGCTATCTGGTGAAAAAGAAAATCAGAATCCAGATCGAGATGACTTCAACTTTGGGAAAAAAAATTAGAGGGTGTTTTCCATGATCAACTAATACAGGTTTTCATTTTTTTTAGTATCTTCTTTTATGTCATTCAGGATATGGGAAATCATGATTCTCCAAAACTTCCTAACTTTTGAGCTCTAAGCAATATTTATCCCTTTAATATCCCTCCCAATCTTCTGGCATCTAAAATTTGAATGCACATTGGAATAGTGAAAGATGTTATCTAAAGGAAAAGCAATGTATAAACAGAAAAAATTAATTAGAGACAAAGAAATGACTTCTGAACTGTTATGTAATATTGGTCACCCAAAATGGCAGTGAATGCTGGCCAATCTCTTCACTGATGAAGAAGAGACTTGAGGCAATAGAAATGTGGCTCTACAGGAGGATGCTGGGAATAACATGAACTGAATACATGAGCAAATTTTAAAGAAAACGGAGACAAAAAGGATACTTATACTTTGAATCAGAAAGAGATTGTTGAAATTTCTTGGGCATATAATGAAGAAAGAAGGCTAGGAGAATTTGGCATTGAAGGCAAAAGGAACAGAGCTTGTGTAAGTGAATTTGGAAAGATAATAAAAAAAACAAGCCTTGATTAGAGTTACAGAGAATAGAAAGTTGTTTCCCTTTGTTTCTCTTGCCTTCAGAATGTTAGATTCTCCAAGCATTCTTACTTTATTATGTGTTTCAGAAATTTCAACTGCCTCTTTCTGAATCTAATCCCAAGTGTCCTTTTTGCTCCCATTTTCCTTAAAACATTCTTAACTTCTTTTGTCTCCCAGGTCCACCCTGACGCAGGGTGGTAGCACCTTTTATGGTGCTAGCTATGGGCAAATAGTGAACCTCCAAACAAAAATCAACAATACAT